CCCCATCTCCTCCAGCCGAATGCCAACCGCCAGCTGATCACAGCCGCCAGTACTGAGCTCGGCCACCTCCTTCTCGATGCTAACAAGCTTTATTCCATGTAGCTCTGGCGGCAAAACCGCCCAATTCTGCCGCTCGACTACTTGGGCGAAGTCTCGAGCTGCCTCGCCGGCGCCAACTCCGACCAGCATCGGATTCCGTCCGCTGCTCTTCCGAGCAAGGATCTCCCCTATCCTCCGGCAATTCTCACCGCCGCCGTCGGAGCAGAGCTGCGCGGTGGCCGTGGGGAAGGGGAAAACGAGCTCTCGGGAGGTGAGTACTGTCTCGAATCCATCCCCGGCCGAGAAATTGGACAGGAAGAGCGGGGAAGATCGGGCGGCGCGGGGAAAGCGGAGGATGGGCGGCGGGGGGCCGAGAATGGCGAGCTTGATGTCCGTGCTGCAGAATCCGGCGTCGCCAAACGCCCGGCTGACCACGGGGTCATCCAAGATCGCGAGCAACAGCTGCTGGAGTTCCACCTTCACCCCGGAGAACGACGATGCGCCACCGCCGCCGGGGGTCTGCTGCTGCTGGTACAGGTACAACGTCTCCGGATTCCGCCGCTGGATCGCCTGCGACCGCTTGATCGCCGCCATCAGCGAGTTCGAAACCGGCGGTTCATCACCGCCGCCACCCTCCTCCACCGCCTGCCTGTTGCTCGACGACGACGGCAGCCGGTTGAGAGCCACTCCGAAGCAGAGCTCAAGCGCCTTGAACTGTAGCCTGGGCGAATATACGGAGCTCCGGGCTCGTGAGAGCGCGTCACCAAGGAGGATCGAACACGGCGCACGCGAGCCTCCATCCGCGCCTCTTCCGGCTGCGGGGGAGGGGTAGGAGGAGGAGGAAGAGAGGAGGAGAGCGTATACGACGTGGAGGGACGTGGTCTGGGCGTGGGCGCGGCGGAGGGCGACCGACACGGCGCCGTCGAGTGCCGCAGCCGCCTCGGCCGCGAGGCACGCGCGCGCGTTACTAACCGGCGTCGGCATTCCGCCCTCGACCAAGCTAACATATACTCCACTAAAAACTAAACCCCAAGAATAACATATACCCCTTCTCGAATGCAAGATTCTCCAGGGAGTTCTCCGCAAAGTACAATACAATAGCAATTAGCGATAATAAGAACACGATGACCACCGCGAGAAGAAGAGAGAAGAGAGAGGCGATTGTCTATGGCAGTTGGCACTCCTCCGGTTTACTTATCGCTGGCGACGAGAGGGGGAGAACGGCGGGCCCCAGGGCTTCCAACCAACGGAGGAGCAGAATGGCCGGCGGGCCCCACACGGCGTGCTCCTCACACAACTGTCACCACCAGCGGCGTCGCTGCTGCCCTTCGTTTCCCCCGCTGCTTGGACCGTAGGTCTCTCATCGGTGAGTGACGGAGGAGATGCTGCGGAAGGCGGAACCGCCGGTCGCGTCGCCCTCACGGGCGTACTTGCGCTGGAGAGCCTGGGGGGGTTGGTCAGCGGCCGGTTTCTGCTCGCAAAGGGCAGTCCCTTCCACAAAAGGCCTCTTCTAGTTTTGGTAGAGCACGGGTGATTCACCCGCCGAATCGTCAAGGGGTGATGTGCCGATTCGTCCGCACACGTCCTCATCAAGCCTTGAGAGACTTAAAGCACTCGAGGTGGACCCCACGAGAGGTGAGGGCCCAGCCACCTAGCCTCCCCCCCTGTCCCTCGCTTCATACTGTCCTCCCTCCCCCCAGATAACTATATGGGAACCGAGACGAAGGTTCGTGTCCTCCTCTCCCTGTCTCTTCCCACACCGGCCGGTCCCGCTCACGCACTTTCCTCTACTGACGAAGGTGGGCACACTTCAACTTTTGAGTGATGATGAAGTCTCCATTGACTTAAAAGAGAGAGAGAGAGAGAGAGAGAGAGAGAGAGACTGCTCCCCGCCTTTCAGAGGCCGGCTTACACTACCACCGCCACCAACAATAATAACTGTCACTTGACGATCATCAGAAACAATTTCCTCGCACTGTAATTATTTTCCTGTGACAGAAAAGAAGAAATATAAGATTTAAGTTTGATACATTTCATGCATCCCTGCATCTTCATGCAAGTGAACTGCTGTTTACGTGAAATCTTTGCTTTGAGCATTCTTCTCTTTGTCTGTTGTTTAATCTTAATCTTTAATGCATCATACCAACTCTTCTCGCTCATTATTGGTTGGGGTGCGTCCCTTTCTTGTAACTCCGAACAGCATTAAAGGAAGGAAAGCAGGCACTCGACGCCAATCAACATCTCCCTCGACATCAAATCCTTCTCAGCAGCGCAGGGTGGATGCGCTTTCCAGGATGATGACTGTGATGCCTTTTGGAAATGGACTTCTCCCTTGACACGCACTTGTCCTCCTCTCTCTCTCTCTCTCTCTCTCTCTGTGACTTGTAAAGGCCACAGAAAAAAAAACCTAGCTAGCTACTTTCTGGGTAAAGCTCGTTCATACGACGTCTTCCGTTCCTCTTCTTCCTCGCTTTTTCTTGAGGGAGATAGGTTGGAATCTGATCCACTACCACCCTTTCTCTTGCATCAAGCTTCCACTGGGTACCTCCTTCCCCCCTTCCCATCTGTCACTCATGCTTATCATCGCTTGGGCGGTGTTTTTGTTTCGTGCTTCCTGTTTTCGAAAAAAAGAAACAAAAACAATGATTGAGATTACGGCCTGTCGTTGTTTTCTAAAAACATGTCTTTTGTGTTCCAAAATTTGTAGGAAGAAAACAGAAACAAATTGTTTTTGTTCATGCATGCAGATTAGGATGAATGTCATTGTTGGCATTGTTTATCTAGCGGCCATTTCTAGTGTTCTAATTTGTATCTGTAGAACAAGAAATCATCTCCTCAGCAAGCTAACTTCAGGCATGAAAGATAAGATTCAAGAGGACCATTATAGTGCGGGAGGAACTCTAAAGTCAGAAGAAGATGCTCCATGCATTATATTTTATTGCCTTACATTCTCTGAAGCTGAAGCAGCAAGAATTCCTCCACTAGTTGAGAGAAATGCAGGTGTAAGAATTCCTCCTCAGCAGCAAGAATTTCATCTCATTAATCATGCAGGGGGAAGAACATATACTGGGGAAGATCTCATAGCACAAGAAGCATATATGCTGGCCATTTGTGAGTCATGCAGGTGTAGGAATTCAATGAGTAGGCCTTTTTCTCAGTGGAACATGCCTGCTGGTGAGGAGAGGGGGTGGGGTAGATGTGAATGAGATGACACAGGCTGCTAGTGTGTAATGAATGTGTATGATGGACCAACCCCACTCTCAAAAGAGCTTGTTGCACCTTTTTTTGATGGCTCCTCCACTATATCAAACAGGGGAGAGAGAGAGAGGCCTTGAAATGGAAGCAGAATCTTTCGTAAAGTAAGGCCTTCATTTTCTTCTTTGGTGCTTTCACCTCAAACTTTCTCCATGGCAGGTCAAGCTGCAAGTTGATCTGTAGGGTTCCCTTTTCACAGGGTTAGTGGCATAAATTAGCCTACATTTGGACCAGAAATCATTCCCTGCATGCAGGATAGTCCACTTTGTATCTTGTGGAGCCTGCTGCAATCAGATCAAGTTTACATGTGGCTAAGGCCAAACACCTGTGATCCTCTAGAAGCAATCACCACCTTGCGGTTCTAATGACTTCATGGAAAGCGATTCAATCATGAATGGTTGCTACCTGGCCAGATGCAACCTTCTCCCTGAGAGTGGAGGGAATCACCTGCATCTCATGACAGACAAGATTCCATGACTTCCATTGAACATTACGAGTGAATACCACCAGGATCCCAACTTAGCTGGTCAGATCAAAGTAACTGGAGCACTGTGAAGTGTTATTGTGTTGGTGGGAATGGGGAGTCGTGGCAGGGTTTGACGTCTTACCATGTTGAGCTTGAAAGTTCTCCTTCAGATTAAGTTCCATCATGTGTTCTAGATCCGAAATGTTATCCAGAAAAATAAGATCCACCATGCAGCAGAAAAAATAAACAATGGAATCAACAGGTGGTGCTGAAGAAAAGGTTTGCCTGAGTAAAATGTGGGCAGCGGTATCTTTCGGGAAGATCGAAGAAACCTTGGCACAGAAATCTGCAAGCCTTCATTGTGTTTCCATTTTGTTCGATCACCATCTTGAAAGATGAATTATCATCTGGTTTTCAATGGTTTTTGCTGCTTTCTAAAGCTTGGAACCTCCACCATCTCTATGCTTTTCTTTTTCTCAATATTATGTCTAATTCAGTGTGAGCTTCCTTTCTGCTAGATGAGTGACTTTGATTGGGTTTATAGTATGTCAATTCAATTCAGTATGATCAGATCGAGATCATATGAGGTTTATCATTTAATGTTTTATCAATATCATTTCATCGGCTAGACAAAACCCATATCACAATAGTCCATTCATCTCAATCTCAATCCTAGTAAAAATAAGACTAGGATAGTCCTCACCCAAATAATAGGAATAACAACCAAACAAGAGAGGTACACTCCTAGTTAAAATAAGATGAGACTATGTGATAGATAGCCTTAAACAAATCTTAACTACATTAAGACTTTCCAAATCCTAACCTAACTAGGACTTCACCTTTACCTCAACTATAAAAGAAGGATAACCCTCTCCTAGTATCCAAATGGTGCCCTCTTTTGAGAAGCCAATCAATCCTAAATTGAGAAGAGGAGAGAGAAGCAAAAAAAGAAGAGAGAGTAAGGGTAGAGAAGAGATAAAAGGATGGGGAGGAGAAGGTGAAGATGGAGATGGAGACAAAGTAAGGAAAGGCAAACGAGGAGACACAGGAAAGGGGAGAGGAAGGCGGAAGCTGGAGAGGTAGGAGGAGAGGAAGACTGAGGAAGAAGAAGAGCCAACAGGGGCAGTAAAATGCACAACTAGGAAGTAAAATGCAACAAATTTGCCTAGAAAAATTGACAGGAAGCACATCGAAGTAAAAAAAACTAGTGCAGTGTGCAACATAAGATGATGTAATGAAATAGAATCGAAACATAGAAGTTTACGAACATTATGATATGATTGTAACTATCCAATCAGTATATGATATTTCCCTTTATGTTCTGAGTTATCAGACAATACACAAAGATACATCCGTTCTTCCAGATGCTTTAACCAGATTGAAGTCTCCTTATTATTACAGTGGAAAAAGAAAAGCAGATATAGGGTGTTATCTGTAGAGAGAGAGAGAGAGAGAGAGAGAGATGTCAAGCCAAGCTAAGCGCTTGAAAGAGCTTACAGTTGTTTGATCCAATGGCATGGTTCAGAAATTACAGTCGTTTGATGCAGTCACATTCAGATATTATCCATGTACTGCTTGTGGACCATCTTCTTGTAATCTGGTAGGACATAAGCATCAGTACAAGTCAGATCACCACATTTGAAGTGCTGAAGAATTGGATAATTTATTATCACAAACTAAATAAGTCTATTGTCCGCAAACTAAATAAATGGAGCAATTTATCATAATGCACCAATCAACTGATCATGAACCATGAACACCATGCTTTTGTTTCTTAAGTAGAATTTATCTCAGAACAGTTACCAACAAAACATCCAGAAAGAAGCTTATTGCTCAAACTTCAGGATGCAACTTGGCTAAAGTTGGAATGTTTTATGTATAGTAGAATACTGAGATGGATAAATATAGTAGCAAAAAAGGTAAGGCCAGAGAGAACATATGAACCTTCTTGGTTGCTCCACAGTGTTGCAGCATAGCTATTGAGAGGACTTTCATTATTGGGTTCTGTGGCAAATGAAAATAATCCAAAGTTAACAAGATGGGGCATTCAGTTGAACGAGAAGGCGGTATTCCCATCACAAATCATAGAAAGATTCCATACCTCCTAACAAGCTCTGTATAGATAACAAGATCGTTCTGCAATCATATGCGGAAGACCACATGTCCTGGGTCAGAGTACAGAATATATCATGAACACAAGTGCAGTACATTGCATTAGGCCATTAGCGTAGTAGTTTGCTGATCGGAAAGCCAAATATCAGAGTACCTGAAGGATGTCTAAACAAATGTTGCCACATTGATCAATATTTGGATGGAAGCATGGAGTTTCAAACTTAACCAGGGGTGGCTTAAATGGATAGACCAATGGGAAGCTTAGTGACAGCTTGTACAACAAGCCTTTGTATGGAGTTCCTTTGCTTCCCTCAATGGTACCGATCCAAGAGAAGATGTTTTCACCCTCAGGAAATGCTGATACTCCAGTATCTCCACTCATCTATGCATCAAGAAAATGATCAGACACACAAAAAAGAAAAGGCAACATTACGGGAGGGAAACCCATAAAAGTAAACAAATATTTAACAATTATTCAAATGCACTAAATGAAATTATTCATCACAAAAGGAATTTCATAATTGCATGACAAGAAAAGGTTCTTTTTTGGCAATAACATGGAACCATATTAAATATGCTTAGTGGGTCATAGCTCTTGTGTGGCCTATATGGAGAAGATATTAATTCATATAATAACACTCATTGGAATAAGCAAGATATGTGAGCTTAAAACATTTGCGTGTCCAAGAATCCTCAACTATTGATAGTCAGCTTTCCAAAAGCTAACAGGAAGCTGACTACACAAAATGACAAGTGCTATTGTCTTGAAATCAGTGAATTTAATGGCTCAAAACTAACTGCTTGTAGTTAGCGAATCTTGAACTGAACTCCTTGTAGGTGATTTTTTTCTTCAAACTGGCAAACTACTTCTAGCTCTTTCTTAACTTGTGGCTAACTTTGCTTGCTCCCAGAAAAGTACCGTCAGTGTGAGCATCACAACCACAATGCTGTAAGTTACTCATTTCCCACCTGCTTCGGACCTTTAATTTGTTGCTGTCTGCATTCCAATTATCTGATTTGATATTTGATATGTTAGTACTGTAAGCTTTCTATTCATCTTTCTATTGAATAACTTGACATGTGAAGCTATTAATTCCAACTGATTACAATGGCCCATATTTGATGAGTACTGAAAATAATTTGTCGCTAACCAAACAAACATCTACAAGTAGTTGCCAAAATGAAGACTGATACTGCCCATCTTTGAAGATGGGCAGCTCAAGAAGATGAAGGATAAGGAAGTAGGAATGCAGAGGAGGAAAAGGAAGCCAAAAGAAGAAGTGAGCAGAACAAACAAACATGTCGTCATAATAAAACATCAGTCCGAGAACAAAAGGAAGAACCTAACCCATATTACCACATACATTTAATGTTCTATGGACTGACCATGTGTATTTATAAACATCCATCTCAATTATCTCATCATATACTACTATCAACACTATAAGCACATATCATAGCTGGAAACAAATTCTTTTGAAGCATGTTATATACTATGGTTTCCTTGACAAATAGTATATGTTGTCGAAGAAAATGGAAACTGACATAGATAATAAGATGACAAAGGGTAACATGGTTCTCACCATAAAAAGTAAATGGAAAACCAAACACAAATTCTAACAAGTAAAAGAAAAAGATTATTCAGAAAGCTTATTCACCTGTCATCACTATCAACCATGCAATGAATTGGAAGGTTCATTCTTGAAATTGCAGACATGTTAGCAGTCATAAATATTAATATCTTTTTAGTGTAAGTGAGTAGCATGGTCGAATGATTATTGATGTCATTACTGTTGCATGGACATGAATTCAGGTGTCGGATTCGGTAAGGAACAAAATGAAGATACTGTAAAATGTCAACTATGAGAAGCTGAGTTCAAAAGAAGCCTTAGAATCACAGGAGGATCACTTATCAGATTTGAATACCATTTGATGTTGGAACAGTATAATTAAGGGCGCGATTAAGTCTATGATGTGCAGATATGCAGATCCATATCCAACATGGATTTGGGTCTGGATGTGAGAGTCCATAGAGCTCACTTCAAGAACAAGCAGGAAGAAATTTTGAACCAACATCTTAATCACAAACTACCATAATTGCACTGAACATGAGCGAAAGATCATTATTCTACAATACATATTTGTCCAAAGTAAGGGCTCTTATCAAAACAGTGAGCCTAGTAATATTAAATTCATTCAACTTAGAACATTTCCTAAGATGGAAGGTAGGCAGAATGCCTCTATCTTAATAATCTCCCCAACTCTATGCTACCCTTTTGACATCCAAGACATTCAAACCTTTCTATTCTGAAAGGGCTAAAGCTAGCAAAAACTACTCACTTTACAAATTGTACCATGATCTTGAAGAATTGGAGGATATAACGAAAACAATGGGATGAACTACTGTGTTAATTAATCTCTCTGTTATCCAACTTTTCAAACTGAATCTTATTATACAACAAAAAAAACGTACAGTCCCAATTATTTGGGGTCGATAAGATGGATTTTTTGCCATCACTAAGATCTATAATGAGTTTAATAATACTTAAATCTTTATTTATAGTTTCTATTAAAGTTTTTTAAATCTTCATTTACCTTTCTTGTACCACTAATACCATTAACAATAATCATTTAACCTCGTCTAACTATGTATTTGTAGGTATTCTTAGCGTATGTTTATAACATCATAAACGTTTTTCTCATTTTATCATCTACTGAAGCGATAACTTCACAAGTTCATCTCAGCATTTTTAGCAACACAAACTATTATCAGCTTCATTAACACTCTCCAAAATGAGCCCTCGAAAAGATCCCTCAACCAATCCATGGTGAAATCATTAGGCATTTCAACAGTAGCAACTTTCAGCTAATCTTGGGAACAAGATGAAAAAGGCTTGGCCAAGCAATTCAAAGCAGAAAATGGCTCCAAATTTAAATGCAATCTAAGGGTTGTATTATAAAACTCCTATGTTTTCACATAAGGGTAATTTACTCGTCGATGATTGTTACGAAACTGACTTCATCTAATTATGTCTGCACAATCTCGGGAAGAGATCGCGCATATGTGTAGATTAGTACGAGAACAGAAGAATAAGAGAAAGCAGTCATCTTTCCCAAAAAATCGATCATGAATTAGTGCATCAATGATAGAGACTACAACAATTAAGAAGAGATGTAACTCGATTGCAAAGGTACTCTTCCATCAAACCCTAAGAACAAAACAGCAGACTGAATCTAACAAGGAGACAAAAGCAAACACAAAGCAAGCTTACGTGAAGTTTTACACAGTTTCTTCCGGAGATAGGTCGGCGGCGGATTAAGATCGGCCGGAGGAGCGGTAGCGGTAGAGCTTGCCGAAGACGTGCAGGGCGGTGACGAATCCGATGAAGCAGAGGCTCATCACCAGGACGACCGTGGGCGTCATCTTGAACCCGGGGGCGTCGTCGGTGTAGAAGCGCAGCATGTTGCTACCTCCCCCGCCGCCGCTGGCGGCCCCGAATCCCCCGGCGGAGCCGCCACCCAGCCTCCGCCTCCTCATTCCTGCAGCAGACGCCGGCGTCCCCCTAGGCCCCACCGTGGCCGGCCGCCCCCCGCCTCCCGCCGATGACGCCTTCTTCGACTGCGAGCTTCCCCTCGCCATCCTACTCGAGATCGACAGAACAAAAACGAACTGGAAACCACGAACCGCAAAAGGCCCTTCCTTTCGCCGTCTCCTTTGGAAAGAGACAACGAAAAATACGTATAAAGTCTTACCATTCATTTGTTACGCAATCATTTACCTGCCTCTTCGTTGGAAAAACTCTTGGGTCCCAGTACACGACTACGCTCCCACCAATCACTGTACAGGTATCGCAGCGGATAAAAGACAAGCATCCATATCCGGTTTCAGACAACAGTTGGTAGAATCAGTTGGTTAGTCTAAGAACAGGTGGCCATCCTCTTGGAAGATGGGCCCCGCAATGTGGGTCGCTAAGTAGGTAGGCATCGAAGCAGAAACACCATGCCGTTCTTGAGGTGGAGAGCAGTGGACGAGACGATGATTCTCGTGCACCCACAGCAAGGCTTTCAAGGATTCCATCGTGCATGAGAATGATCTTAGAAGCTCGTCAGCTTCCAAAAGTTCATCAGGCAATCTAAACAAAACAATTATTTCACAGTTAGATCTCTAAAAGATAGTTTCTGTGGAGGGGAATGGAAACAAATGGTGAAGAACATTTCAGCAATGGATGCTATTACAAACCAGTTTCTGATGGATAATCTCTCACTAAAGATCGAAGGCGATAAAAGCCAAATCGCTCCCCATTAGCTCACTATAACAAGCCATATCAACAACAATGAACACAACCCTCAAGAACAATCCCCACACATACAACAGTGCACTTAGTAGCTAATGCTGTGTCACCACAAACCACCAAGGCTCTCTCAATTGTTGGCTTCTTGTTCCTTCTCGATAGCTACATCCTTCAATGGGGAAATTTCTACCTTGGGAATTCTTGCAGGAGGTGATATACTGTTCACGTCAGTCATAGGAAAAGAAAGCCTCTTCACCGAGCAAATTAATCGCTCCTTTAGAGTTTCATGTCTTTCACTTTGCGGGCTAAGGAAGCGAGATCTGGCTCTCACTGATTCTGTGGATGCCATGTAGCTTGGAAGGGACACCGAGCTCACCAGGCTCTCATTGTCTCTTGCCGATGAACTGCGCCTCCTTGGCTGCTCAGACTGCAGGCTGAGCATGCTCCTTGAGTCATCATCTGCAGAGCACCGACTAAGTCTTGGGGGGCTCACTGATTTCTTTCTGTTCATGACCGATGATGGCTTAGACTGTGGAGTTGCAGGTGACTGGTGGCTGGGAGGCCGGCTTGATTTATGAGCTGCTGATGAGGTGCGTTCCATGCTAGTGTCATGGCGCTTCATTGTCTGTCCTACGGTGCTGCAGTTGGCTATCTTAATGGTGGCATCATCCTTGGTCTCTGTCGTTCTGTGGTTCTCCCATGGCCTTGCTGCCATCCAGCGTTGCAACCAGTTCCAACCCCATTGTGGATTGCTCGGGTCTGTGGGAACCATAGTCGAGGATCTGGAAGAGCTCTTCCACTGTGCCAGAGAAAACGGATAAAAACATTTCAGAGTACTGAATAAAAACTTACAGAAAGTACTAGAAGGAAAAGCAAAGAATGGTATGAAATGCCTAGTTAAAAAAAATCCACAATTATAGTGCGATTAAGAAAGCTGAGAATTGAGGTAGCAAGAACATCATAGATGCATTTAGGGATCAAAATGCCTACTACCTGATGAGAAAATGCATAAGCCAGTGCCCTTTCTCTTCTTATAGCAGCTTCTTGTTTGTTCAGTATATTTGCTTCAATTTGCTCTTTGGACCGAAGACTATCATCCCATTCCTCATTGATCTGTCAATGGCCATTAACCATAAGTCCAGATATAGCAAAATTTAGTTTTGATGAAAAGATGAGCAACATGAGTTCAGGATATTGTGTAAAATCACATAATAGGTAACAGATTACAGTATGAAATACCAAAGTTATGGTCTTGAACAAGAACTGTTAAAATTGTCCATTTTGTTATTAAGATGACCACCACATACCCATTGCCATTGATAACTTCCTCTTTCTAAATCAAACAATATAATAAAACAGACTAGCAATAGGTGTATAAAGTAGAATATTATGATCAAATTCAAACTATGGATGCAATAAATATATTTGCAGCAATAGCACGGGGCTCATTGATAATTTTTGTTAGTTTCATAAGTGAGCTAGTCCACCGCAACAAAGATCTTGTGGTTAGCATAATGCGCAATTGATAAATCTCATGTTTGAATCCGTGTAATATAATGGAAGGAAATTAGTTTAAAGAAACAAATATCCTAAAAGAAAGACATGAGGCTCTTAGCTATCTCGTATTAGGTAATTTAAACTTTAAACTAAACCTATACAAGATGCTGAAAAAATGACTCTCTGCACTTGCTTTGGCTCATTGTCTTAGTAGCACATAATTTGTAGGGAATATGTCATGAAATGACTGCTAAGTTGCAATAGTTACTGTTAGAAATGACAAGTGGAGTTTGACGGTTTTACCCACCTTTAAAGGATATAGGTAGACAGACCTGACAAGTTGGGACCAATCCATGTGTTGCTGACTGGAACCTGCCCTAGTTTTTGTGGGTTTTTGCTGGATGAACAACATTTAAGAGGTTTTTGAAGGGAATTTTGTGTAAGATCAATGGTGGAAATTCAATTTAGACCTGAACCAACCTGCGCCTCGACCCAAACCTAGTCCAACTTCTAACCATTTTACAGAATACAATCTACCCTATGAAACACAATATAACCCTGATCAAGGAACAGAGCATGTATGGGCGAGTTTGGAAATGACAAAACTTGGCCTCGATCAGCACCATTGTCAACCCGAGATACAAGGCAGTTCACCACCAAATATGAAGGCTCTATGTATTCTACCATCTAAAAATTTTAGAAATATAATTAAGTAAAAGAAAAAGTCCACCACAGGATTTGATTGAAGATTAGTAAATCATGTAAAAGCAGTTGCTAGTTTATTTCCTAACGTCCAAGTCTTAGCTCTCGTGAAGTAGCATGGTGAAACTGGTTTCCTTCCTAGAATTTATATTCATCACAGTTTTCAGAACATGCAAATCTCATATGCATCACCATAGCACAACAAATGCAAACAGTGTAGCAGATCTGGTATATCCAATTGTATACATTGAACAGGTATCATCAATCATTTAGACCATCCTTCACTGCATCTAAACCATTATCAATCGCTGCAAACAATTTCACCTTTCTGAATCAAAGCATCAAATGGCGTGTAAAATGATATTGCAGATAGTGACAAAATGCACACTCACCTTTATTTTTGCTAGTTGAATATCATGTTTTCGTTGCAGATGCCTCTGAAGAGCCTGGTTTTCCTCTGTCATTCTGATCCTCCTTGAGCGTATCTGTGTCTGAACTCTTGCCATTGTTTCCATGGAATGCAATGTGTTAGTAGTCTGAGACTTGACAGAATTTCCATCAACCCATCTCTTCAACCTAACAAATCCTCTCAAATCTCGTAGTGTTCTTCTTGCCTTAATAAAATTTTCAACAAAATAATAAAAGATCATATCACCAACAATTGAAGACCGGCAAAAGATCATAAGATAGTAAAGGAGCATCAAGATGATAAGTGCAGAAACACATGAACTGATTCAATGCAAGATGAATGTGCAGGTCTCACTAATAAGTGTAGCCCTAAATAAGAAAGGTCTTAACCCAATTAACTCAATGCTCGTGAATTGGTGCCGCACGAAGAACTTGATATAAACCAGCTTTATCTTTGTACATAAGCATAACGGTTTATATTTCATGATAATTTGATGATTTCTTGAACTTGTTTAAACAATTTTTATTTCATTTGAACAAGTTAGTAAGTCAAATGGACAAGGCTTTGGATCTGAAATCCTAAACGACATTAGATCTTAAAAATATGTGTGATGCAAATTTGGCATTCATTGCTAAAGGGAAAATTATGAACATAGAATTCCCATTATAAAGCTTTTGAACCCAACACATCCACGGTTTTGCACTATATGCCAATGTGGATATCAAAAAGTCAAGTAAATTAGCTTCATATGCCTGCTAATATGTAAATAGAGTATCAATAAAACATAATGGTTTGCTGACCTTATTTAGTAAAGGGAGGTACAGAAAAACATAGAACAGATAATTAAATGGATAGGACACAAGCTAAAATAGGGAAATTATAAGAAAAAAAGCAAGCCGATTATGTAAAGAGAACAATAGAATGTCAAGGTTCCATGATTTTCAAGACAACCAAATGGTGATATTTGCACTTCCAACAAGAACAGAAGGAAGCCCAGTTTCTCTAAAAATATATAAAATAACAAAATAATATTCTCTTGCAACTTAACCATTGTTTCCAATGAGAAATTAATGATAGAACAATCACTAAAAAAGACAAAATGTTGAAACAAGAAACTATACCAGGCACCCCCGGAACGCAGCCTGGATCTTGATGGCTGCAATCTCTTCTTTCGATTCACCTAAGAGCCCGGTCATTGAGGTGGTGAGGTGGATGACCTGCGCTGCTGCTTCAGCAGCAACAGCTGCAGACTCTGCAGCAACAGCTGCAGCCTCTGCAGCAACAGCACTGGCAAGTGCCCCCGAGTTGGCATGCTTGCTCTCTTCATCCCCCGTCTCTGTCAGCTTAACCCCCTCAATGGGAGCCAGCGGCAGCAGTTGAGCATCATCGTGAGCAGCAGTCTCCACTTCTTTTGTAGGGAGTGGATCAGAATGCTTGGATTTACCAAGATTCTCCCTTTGTTCTCCTTGACAGCAGTTACAGATCAAGGTTCTCTTGACCGCAGTAAACCACTTCCCTTTTTTCCCCATCTCCACCCTCTTATTGGTATATTGTAATCTTTATTAGATCACTCCTGTGCGAGAACCTTCATCGGACAAGCAGCAAAGAAACAAGAGAGTGAGATCAAATCCTAATTCATTTGGTGCTATCCCGCGTCCACCACAAACCAAGAAGACTAGGTTATATATAAAGTTACGAACTTTCTTCCCAGAAATCAATACTGAAAGCATAAAGATTAGGACAAAACTTTCTCACAGATTTCATCTTTTCCCCAGAAAAATCAGCTCCAGGACAATCTAAATCGCATTTATAGCAGCAAATGGAAATAATAAGGAACTAAAACCAAAAAATCAAAAAAGGAGCAAACAACTGAAATTATCAAAATGAAAGAAGCAAAAAGTAGAACATAACGTAGGGAGACAAAGGAAAAGGAAATCGAAATGGGAGCAAAAGGAGAAGCTTTTCGGGAACACCGTTACCTTGTACTGGTGGCGAGATAGCAGACACGCCAAAGGTCCACTCTTTCTTCCCAAAACGATGACAGGAAGCAGAAAGAAACGAGGTCCCAAAGACTGGGTTGGTGGCACGATCACGCCAAGGCCCACAAAGAGGACCCTTTTTCCCTCCCTTTTTCTCCGCCTATTAGAGGCGAGAAGAAGAAACAATTCTCGGAAAGAAACCAGACCCTGGAGATCGGTTAAGACCGCGAGAGGAGCACACGGCCACCCACACCCTCGCTCTCCCTCCCTCTCTGATGGAACCGACCTTGGCGGGAAGGTTTGGGACCCACCTCGCCAAGCCGCCCTCTCTTCCTCCTCCTCCTCCTCCGACGCCAGAAGGGAGCTGCCCTCCCTATCCTTTTTAAGGCTCCGTTGCCGTCCCATTCCGTTCCTCTCTCTCTCTCTCTGTCGCTCTCCCTCTCCATCTCGCTCTAAACTTCGCTTCTCCTCCTCTATCCCAAAACTAATCTCTCGTTTCGCCGAATCGGATAACCGCCCGTGTTTAACGTGGACAAAGGTAAACGGATAGGCCACCTTTGTGGAGGCCATCGCGGTGGGGTGCGTTTCGGTGAAACTAATAACTCTCACCGCCGCGTAACGGTGGCAGTAATGCCGTTGAGTTCGCACGATGCTGCAATTTAATAATACAATAAAAAAATCGAGTTTTGCAATCTTATTTCTATAAATAAAAGCATGTAATTATTTATTTTGTTTACTCCAATACTGTCGATGGGCGATTTTGGGGAAAATAAAATATGAAGTTTTGGGTTTTCCTTTCCAAAATACCTAAAAAAGAATCTCAATTTTTCAAAATAATAAAATTATCCTCATCGATAATTGTTTATCTTAATTTTGGAGTTTCCTTTCGAAACGATCGAATCAAACAAATTACAATCTTATTATAGTATAAATCGAACTGATTAATAATATTTTTAAAAAATAAATTATATTATTTTTTACTAAACTAAAAATATTATAACTTGATTCGATCAATTAAAATTCTCACAAACCTTAATTATTAATCTTATTATGCGTAATAAAGTTTTTTTTAATATTTTATTCGAGAGTGTTTAGGTGATTTTAATGAAAAATCAAAATTATTTCATTTTTATGAGTTTCTAAGAGGATATATATATATATATATATATATATATATATATATATATATAGTGTTTTTATTAATTATTTATAGGCTCATATATTACTTTTATCTGTAATTATGTGCTTTGTTCGGTGGTTGAATTGAGATGTGGTGTAATATAATGTTTGACTATTAAGAAATTCATAGTTGACAATTAGTTTTGGTTGCTTGTAGCTATTAAGATCATCAAAAAATAATCTTGTTTGACTTCTAAACAATCCACGATGAGAATGTCATCTCTTTGACCCACGTCTTATGGTGATATTATATGACATCATAAATTATATTTAAATTAAATATTCAAAATAAAGTTGGGTCTACTATGTATCCAACTAAACAAAATTCGATCCTCCAAGTCAACTTCATATAACTAAAGGTTTCATTGTGTGCTCTTTCTCTCTCTCTATATATATATATATATTCACATTGTAGTGCATGCTTCGATTACTTAAGCCATTAAGGCTGTGGATAAACATTAATATAAATTTTCTTTCTCTTTCCTCTGAGTCCACTTACCAAAAGTTGTCATGTTTTAATAAAGGAACCTCTAAGGGTTTATATGTCCTTTTAATATGATCCCCTCCAAGCAAATATCTCATATCATCATAGAATTATAAGTAAAACTAGCATGAGAGATATGCTTAACGAGATTACTCTGACACTTAAATTAGTATAAGAGTTGATGTAAGAGTAGAAATAAGAGTTTTGAAACTTAAATTATCCTATTTATAGAGAGTGATTATTCCCTCATATCATGAGTCACATTCAAAACTAGCGCAAGGGATATATTCGATGATATTACTTTGATACTCAAAATCAATATTAGATTCGATGTGAAAATTAAAATAATAATTTTTAAAATATAAATTATCTTATTTATAAAGAGTGATTGATAAAACTAGGATGAGGGATGTGTTTGATAAAATTATTCACTCACATAACGAGAGTCGTATATAAAACTAGAACGTGTTTGATAAAATTACTTTGATACTTAAATCATCCATATGAGGTTCGATGTGAGAGTTAAAATAAAAGTTTTTAAAATTTAAATTATTTTATTTATAGAGAGTAATTATTTTCTTCGTACTAAGGATGTGTTCGATGAGATTACTTTGATACTCAAACAATTAAGAGATTAGACGTAAGAGTTCAAAATAAAAGTTTTGAAATGCAAACCATCCTATTTGTAGAGAATGATTATAGGAATATTCATCAAATAAAGAGTACTCTCAGAAAATTTTTGATTTTGGCACGCAACAGTATCATCTCTCTCTCTCTCTCTCTCGCGTAGCTGTGGAAGGGTTCTCCACAGTGGTTTTTTGAAGGACCAGGCAAAAGGATCAATAAATTTTTTGATGACAAAAAATGGTCGGAGATAATTATGAATTTTCCAATTAGTAGATCGAGAAACTGCTTTCATTATGCAGAGTTGAGTTAAAATCTTACTAATAGGATTTCATCCACTATGATTCTAAAACTAAAATCTGCTCGATCTATCTATGTTTCGAACTGATGAAGACAAAGGGGGGTATCAAATCGAGATAAAACTCTGTGCGTATAAATCTAATGGTATTTTCTTTGATCTAAACGTCATTTTAATGTACATGTGCTTTTTCATATTGTTGGATTTGTGTTGTTTTGATGAATATAAAACATTATATCGCAGAATTTTGGTGTCTAAGGCTTGTATACATCGTGGATAATGTATAACAGAGATATCTTTCAATTAATTAGTTGATTTTTTTTATAAAAAAATATTAAACAAATATTATTATGTTTTGATTAATTCGACATAGTCCTACACAAGGTTATCCAAGAGTGATGGACTTAGTCGTCACCTCCAGAGTCTTAGTTGATATTAGCTTGAGGGCTATGGTGGCCAAGCTGGTCATCATGGTCGATGTCCTCCAAAGTCCTAGCTTATATTAGCTTGAGGGCTATGGTGGCCAAGCTAGTTGTCATGGTCGGTATTGGGGAGGATCGTCGATTGAGCAATGATATCTTATTCACGAATAGGGTCATGATATCACTTCACATCTCATTTTATTTTGTTGGGATCTCCTGTTAGGCATCAGTGCTGATGACAGTGGCAATTGAGATGCTAATCATGACCGAGATGGTGGTATCACATATTGGGATAGTTGTGACAATAGCATAATAACAACTTGCATCATGCTTATTAGCATTTGCACATGGGTGAGATTTAAAAATACCTAAGCAGGGACGAGCAGGTGGCTTGGGATTGTTGTCGAGGGTGAGAGGCTCAAGTTGTTGAACAAATGCTCGTATCGCATTAGCATTTGTATCGAAGTGGATGCATCTACATGTGGAAAGGGTGGTTGTTGCCTCCATGACCGAAAGCACTATAGGTTGGAGGCAGGGTCTTCTCACTCGAGCGTTTGTTGAAAGGATTAGTAGGCGGATGTTTCTACTACATTAGGCCCTCTTTCCAGCAACAAAATGATATGCAAATGCATCTACCTCGACACAAACACCAACATGATATGGGCATCTATTCAACGATTTCCTAGGGGTAACCTCAAGCCACTTATTTGTTCTCGTTGAGGTGTTCTTGAATCTTACCCAATATATGCAAACGCTAATAGGCATAATGCAAGTTTATTCTGCTCTTGCCCTAGCTAACCAAACATACAACACCACATTCTCAACCATGATCAATAGCTCAATCGCCATCACCACCGGCATCCATCAGCACCAACGCCCAACATGAGACCCCAACAAGATAAAAAAGAGATAGCAGAGTGATATCATGCCCCAACTTATGGATAAGATATCATTGTTCGATCGATGATCCTCCCCACCAAGGACATCGATCGTGATAGCTTGCTTGACCACCATACCCCTCAAGTTAACGCTAATAAGGACTCTAGAGGCGACAACAACAAGTTCATCACCCTTAAATAATTATAAGCATACGAGAGTATATCCGATTGACTAAAGCATCAACGATATTTTTCCATAACAAAAATTTAAGCTCCGATTACTATCACACAGGACTTTGTATACACGCCACCCAATCCAGTACTAGGTTAGTGATTCTTTAAGTATGATTGAACATATGATATTGACGACATAAGATGGAAAACAAGAATTTTACTTGAAAAAAATGTTTTATAACCATTATTTTATCAAATAGCCAATCACATGTCCATCATAATGATTTATTTGGCAAAAGCTTTTTTTATGATCAAATTATCTTATTAATACTTTTTATACCCATTAACTATTGCTAAAATAATTAATATTAGCATCATATGATGTGTTTCGTAGGTAGTTGACAAGAGGGGGGTGAGGCGGTGATACAATAATTCCACGCATCCACTAATTCGCAATTAAACTAAAAGCAACCAACCAACCATTCTCAGACTAATTAAAGAAAGCCTTATAGGAAACGCGAGCCACAGAATTAAAAGGGTCAACCTGCGGACCACGAAAAGGAGGGAAACGAATTAATATTAATTTAATGATTAATTAACTTGAAAAAGAATATTCCATCCCCATTATCGACAAAGCAGAGGCAGCCTCATTTCCCGCTCCCCTCTCTTCTTGGCCTTTCGACTTCTTCCTCCTCCGATCCGATCTCTTCTTCTCTCCCCCCCCAACCCTAGCCCTGCCCCTCCACGACCGACGCTTGGTGGTGCCAGTCGCCGCGAACTCCGCTGGAATCTTTCCCCATTTCTCCATCGAACGATCCAGAGGCTGGTGACGAGGAGGAGATGAGCACCAAGGGAAACTGGTCGCCGCCTTCGGTGAGCGGGAGGCTGGTCACGCTCGGGCTGGTGGCGTCGTGGTACTCGTCCAACATTGGGGTGCTCCTGCTCAACAAGTACCTCCTCAGCAACTACGGGTTCAAGTACCCGATCTTCCTCACCATGTGCCATATGACCGCCTGCTCGCTGCTCAGCTACGTGGCCATTGCCTGGCTGCGGGTGGTGCCGATGCAGACCGTGCGCTCGCGGCTGCAGTTCGTCAAGATCGCTGCGCTTAGCGTCGTCTTTTGCGGCTCGGTGGTCAGCGGGAACGTCTCGCTTAGGTATCTGCCCGTCTCGTTCAACCAGGCGGTGGGGGCGACCACGCCCTTCTTCACAGCGGTGTTCGCCTACATCATTACTGTAAAACGGGAAGCCTGGCTCACTTACGTCACCCTCATCCCGGTGGTCGCCGGCGTCGTTATTGCCAGTGGGGTACGGCAGCTCTCTATCTTTATTTAATTCGGATTTGATAGATCAAGTATTTTTAACAAATTGTGATGAATGCCATGTGTTTGATGTTTGCCATTGGTTGAATCTTCGTTCTGCAATTCAAATGAAAGGAGGAAACTATGGAATTAGATCACTTTAACTTAGAGTCTATAGAGCGCAGGGGTTAGAAGTTGATTTTTGGTTTATTTGATGTAGTCCTGTTAGCTACTGAACAATGCAGGAGGCGTAATTGACTATGACGTCAGTTTTACATTTTTTCTGTTAGTTGATCATGATATATGGGTTTCGATTTGAGAGTTGTTTATTGATCTAACTCTCTGGTGAGTTGCATCATAAAGCACGTACAGTCAATGCAGCAAAATGCATAATTGTACGTGTTAGATGTTGCAGTATATGTGATTTAAGTTATAGAAGATGCTTCATATTAAAGTAGCCCAGCTTTTTGTGTTTGGGAACGAGTTATTCTGCCGTTTAGACCTCTTGTGTTTATTGTTCCATAGGATTTATGTTTCCTCTTTGCTTGTGGCTCTTGATTGTCATGCTTTTGATTAGACAGCTTAGAGGTTCTTAAATGCAATATGGTATATCAGACAAAGTATCCATGATTTTCTTCATAGGTGGCATACTGTTTACTTCCAATGCTCTGATTTAGTTTTGACATTCATTTATATATGTTAAGAACAAACACAACTGACTAGAACTCATATAAAATTGTTCAGTTATTATTTTTTGATATACCATGAGTTGTTACATTAACTTGGCCTGTGAACATCATACGTTTGAACAATAATAATATCAAGTTGCAAACATATGCAATTATGAAAACTTATGTTAACTAGTAAGTTTTGGATAAACAATTATGCTAGAAAACAAATCTAGATGGGTGATTGATAACAATCAAAGACAGGAAGATGCTAATACGTTGAATGTTATATGTGAATTCTGTGTTTCGCTAAGAAAGGCTTTTATTTTGTAAATAATTGTAATATGTAGATGAAGTAAAAAAATTACAAATTCCCCCTGTAATGCTATTAGAAGTGACTTATAATACCTAATTCATTTTGCACATCAAAATCGCCTACAAGCACCTAAGGCTGCTCTAGCCTTAAACTCCTAAAAGCTATCAAGCATCCAAGTAGTGGGGAAGTTCAACATCCCAAAAAACATCTTGGAGTCCTTGGAGGCCACTTCTTTAGTTTAGTTGCACATTTGGATTTTGGTTGTTGAATGCTGGATGATAAAAGGCTAAAGTTGGATGATCAAGATAGAAAATACACTAGTCACTATAGTGGATATTTTAGTTTTCAAAGTTTTTGGAGTTTAAGAAATGTTCAACAAAAAAAAAGTTTATGCCACTTCTACCCAGCAGGTGTAACAAATAAATGAAGAAACCTGTCATTTAAGAAAATGATCTAGCATAATTGATTGTCCTGGATGTATTCTGATTCTATCCATGAGAGCTTTTGTGTATTCCAAAGGAATGCTATTTTGACCAGGAATCTCATCTGGATTACTTGCGAACCTTTAGTTTCTCATTGAATTATATTCTCAAGACTCTTGTCTTGTTATGTAATGGGTAGATTCTTATATGTAATGTTGAATAAGAAGTTTGATTGGTAATGAAATGCCAATTTGCACTAACATGTCAAGGAGGATTACAGTTTACCTAGAGACTGCCTACTGCAAGGTGAAATTGGCCCTTTAAGTTCTCAACCATGTTGTTTTCCAACTATGTTTAATATTGGTTTATGGGCCCATATATAAATTTTATTTCTCGAATGATTCCTTGAGAATAATTATTAACTGGTTTTTTACTTTTGTTTACCAATGCAGGGAGAGCCAAGTTTCCAACTGTTTGGTTTTATCATGTGTATAAGTGCAACTGCTGCAAGGGCACTTAAGTCAGTATTGCAAGGAATACTGTTGTCTTCAGAGGGGTAATAAATACATTTTTGTGCTGTATGATAATTGCATCTTCTTTACTCATTTATAACTCTGTAACAGCCTTACAGTATATTTACTTAGTTATTACAGACTAGAAATTTTAGGATGTTAATATTTTTCCTTGAAAATGTTATAATTCATTTTCTTCTGCAAGACTGGTGTCAAATATTTACACTTCTCTTGTGTTTTTATACTTCATTTCAGGGAAAAGCTAAATTCAATGAATCTGCTCCTACACATGGCTCCGATAGCAGTTGTTTTCTTACTTCCTGCTACATTAGTTATGGAGAAAAATGTGGTCAGCATCACATTGGCACTTGCTCGAGAAGATAACAAGATTATATATTACCTATTGTTTAATTCTGCTCTTGCCTATTTTGTGAATTTGACCAACTTTTTGGTGACTAAGCACACTAGCGCTTTGACACTCCAGGTATGTTCCATACACGATTTCATTGCCTTCTAAATAACAAGAAAAGACATTTACATCTTACTCCTTTTATATTCATCTGCTTGGCTTCATGAAAATTTATTTGCTTGAAGTTTTACACATTATAACCTTGCATTAGTATGTTTGATTACAAAAACTTGAAAATGATATTTGTTAATTCATATCTACTGTTATCTTTACATCTATAATGACCTTCAAAAGCAAATGCACAATGGTCGTGTTGTTTTCATCTCTTACAATGGGTTGGAGCTGCTGAACACCAAGTACTTGGGAATTTGAAATATAACTGTGTCAAAAATACAGCAGATGAAATGCTAATACCTAATTTGTAAATGACAAACAGCAAATAAGGTAATAATGGTGTCATTCTTTGATGGGCTCAATTTCATGTAAGACACTTGACATATATCTAGCACTACAATTAAAATGATTGAAAGCATAGCTTTTGGGCAGTCATGATGTAGGAGGGGATTACTGGAATAAAGGCCATCAGACTTGTTCTGCTGCATGATAGATGATTAGTTCAGCAGGAAGGAAAATTTTATCAGTGGTTGATCTCATTTAGTGGTGAAATAGTTTATATTTATGTCAACTAATTGGACACTGTTCTTTTTGTTGAAAGACTGAAGTTGTTTGTAGTAAAAGAAGAAGAAGATGCTTATAAGATAATCTGCAACTCCTAAAAGGTCTTTGCTGCCACTGCAAGGCACTTCCAGTTTATCCTCTGCAGGATCTTGTATAAGGTACTTCTTATCCATTTATTAGCAGGCTGTCCAGCAACCACACAACATAAAGAAATTATAATTGGTAAATGGATTCTCTTTCTGAAATAATGAAATGGTAAATAAATCTCATAGCCCGACATTTACATAGTAAGCATCTGACTAGAACACAATCATCTGCATCTTACCATCATCAGGTAGACAAATGATTAACCCCACCAGTATTTTGAGCAGGCAATCCTGAGTGATTATCTTTGTGAATCATAGATTTAGATCACACCCCAACATTTTTGTTGATCTCAGGGCATTGAGTGAAGATTATGTTTTTATAGTATGATGCCTGATTGCAGTCAAATGATAACCTCTGCCATCTTCCTAATATGACCTCGCATATGATGGGATCTAGGTGTCAGCCAGGACATGTAAAAGAAAGAATGATGTGGATGGGAAATTTTCTAAGGCTGCTGTATAACTTTCTGAGGTCCATTTGCAGATTTATCCAATATTAAGGATTAGAATAATAGAGTCAGCCTATTGCTTGATTTTATGATAACAACATTGGCATTTGGAATGAAATCAATCATGCCACCTTCATGCACAGATATCTATGGCCTTCTAACAATGAGATTGCAAGACATTGACCCTAGTGACCATTTCAGCTCTATTAATGAGTGGTGGTTTTGGGGTTTGATGGACCTCTTTATAACAATACTAAGAGGCTAAGAGTATGGTTGTGCTATTATTATTACACCATTACTCAAGACTTGAAAGGATAGAAGCATGACTTAACTGCACTAGATCCGAATGTGTTGTACTCATAAAAAATATTGAAGAATTGATGGAAGCCTATAATTTTCTATGTGCTCCATAAATAATTTTGCCTGATCTACCTCTAAGATTAGCAGTCTACCCAGTAGTCATAATAGGTGGCATTGCTTTTAGGACCATTCTTAAACTTCTAAGATGAGTTAGTTCAATCCAGCTTAAAACTCAAAATTTAGTGCCTGGTCTTTGCTTCTCTAAAGAATTCAGTAACCTGCTTGATTCTTGGAGGGATATGAAATTGATAGTAATATCAAACATGTTTGCCTTTTCTTCCAATCTTATGTCAGCTTGAAAAGCAGTCAAGTTCATAACTGGTACCAAGTTCCTCCTTAAGAACTTCAGTCTTCTATTGACATTCTGCTTCAAGCTCCTTAATTCTGTCATCAAATCGTACCAAGATGTTGAAGTTATGTTACTATCAGCATCAAAGAACTATTTATAGCTGATGAATTCTGATCTTTGTTACCATTCTGCTTTTATATACTTTGTTTATTGCAATGCTGCAAAGATTGAAGATCAGCTTTTGGTGGTTTCAGGTTCTTGGAAATGCCAAAGGTGCCGTTGCAGTGGTTGTCTCAATTCTAATATTTAAGAACCCTGTGACAGTGACCGGGATGCTTGGCTACACCGTCACAGTAATTGGAGTTATTCTCTACAGTGAAGCAAAGAAACGTAACAAGTGATTGTCCTCAGAAACAACCATCAGGTGCGTATTTGTTCCTTGTTAGTGGTTGCAGTGGCGTTGGATTAACTGAAGTGGGAGGTTGGTTAGCTCATGCGTGACACTCATGCATCCTGTCTACACCTGATTCTTGTCTTTCCTTGTTAGTGGTTGCAGCGGCATTGGATTAACTGAAGCTGGAGTTTGGTTAGCTCATGCACGCCACTCATGCATCCTGTCTGCACCTGATTCTTTTGTCTGAAGCCTGAAACATTCCCATCTTAACACTGAAGACCAGTTAGCAAATAGGGATAGAAAGTGCCAACAACTAATTGGCCTCATTTATTTTGGGAGTTGCATTCTTTTCTAAATCATTTTGATGGAGGTTCCAACGAACAGAACTCTTTGCGAGAGGATCATATTCCATTTTACTCGTGTACTTTAATGAGTTACATTCTTTACGATTACTAACAGTTCACTTCTAAGAGGATCATAGGCGTATTTTTTTTGTTAATTGATGTATCGTTTAACATCTTTCATCATACATCAGTGATCAGACAACAAAAATGCCTATATTTGTTCATTTTTTTGGTGTTGGATAATGTCATGCTTCTTTTTCTTGGTCTACCAAGCCAAAGATGGCATTGTTTATCATAGACTTGTGCCTTGAGGAAACCTTAGTGAAGTCTAACCACAAATCTGTTTGACTAGCCTTCTAAGTTTTAAATCTACCTGATATAGATGGAAAGATTTGATGTCATGTGCTGCTCGCAGATATTGCACCTATCTATATCTTTATAAGCTTCACATATTCCATATCGATCATGCTTTTTCAAACTTAAACTTGTAGATGTTTAGATGTAGTCATCAGGAGGGATAAAATAGAGGGCCACCAACCTTTGCTTACTGTATCTAAATTAACTTCTCAAGTAGCAGTTTTGTAGGATGTGAAATTTGATTTGCTAATGCAGTCATAACAAGTGAATAGCAATCATAGGCCCAGTTCTCTTAAGCCAATATGAGCCTCACCTCTAGTGATTTAATTGTTAGCCAACAATTTGCCTTATCATTAGTCATCTTGATCACTACATTTTATCTGTCAGATAAATAATAACTTATATGCATTCTAATAATTCCATAAATCACAGATAAACCTTGACTATCCCGACGAAGTTCAAGGTCACTAACATTTGAGAGCAATCGCTCAAAGTATGGGCCTTTCAGTCTTGATCAGGGAGTGTGTTTCTCATTCCCGATAAGTGGTGACAAGGTTGCGGGATTTCATGGTAATGCAGGCTGGTACCTTGATTCCGTTGGAGGGGACTGCTAGTCAGGTGAGGAGTCCCAGTCTGTCAAAAGCTTTGGTTCCATTTCAAAGTCTAGCAGCCAGCATGGAGGGGACTGCTAGTCAGGGATATGATATAGTTCTTGTAGTAAGAGGAAGGGGGCAAAACTTTACAGTTCTGTCAAACACAAACACAAGAGAGCTGGCATGGCCTTCCCAGGACTATAGAGGTCTAGATCTGAAGAATAAGGTATGATATCCTAACTGAATTATATTGCTTTTAACATTGTCAATTAGATAGAGCTAAAGATAGATGTTCATTTTGATGAATGATTTTATAGTTTTTGAGCACTCATTCTTGTGCACATCAGCATACATTTTCAAATTGTAAGCAATTTGAAAATGTATGCTGATGTGGGATCAAATTCTTTTTAGTATGTATGTTGCCAGCAAAGAAAGACATTTTAT